TTATTATTATTATTATTGTTATTATTCTACATGTATGAATTGAAAAACTATATATTAATAAATAAATGTTATGAGACGCTGAACAGTTACACTGAGAGAAAAAAAAATACTGTGCTAGAATGGTAATCTGGTGTTATTCTACCATCTAGGGACTTTTTACTTTTGCCAACCTAATTTTTACCATTATTCTGGACAGTAATTTCTATTGTACAAACAGTAAAAATAACATTATGCTTTCAATAAAAATTACTGTTCTAAGCATTAAAAATTATTGTTCACATAGTAAAAAGTCTCTGGACGACCGAACAGTACCAGGTTACCATTTTAGCACAGTAACTTTTATTTTTATTTTTCTCTCAGTGCACCATGCCACGAACAAACTTGCAATTTAAATTATTCTAGCTCAAGCGAAACGATTTTCCGCTCCGCAAAAAAAAAAAAAAAATGTCAAACCATAATCGGGTCGCCCCACTCCAAGTAATCCGTTATGAAACTTTGACGCCTTCGTAAAGAGCACAAAAACACACATATACAAATCGATTCGCCTCGTCGAACTTTCCCAATCGGTGTTTTATTATTGCCATTTTTTTTCTTCTTCTTCTCTCGCGTCCCGATTTCCCGCGCCCTTTTTGTCCACGCAAATTCCCAATAACAAAACTGCCACTCACCAATCACTTACATGCACCTCGGCAAAGTCACCCCTTACGTCCATTCACTGTCCTTGTACGTGTATTATCCATTGATAGTATACATATACGTAGACACACACGCAAGTGTTGAAAGCCTCCGCGTCAGCCGCAGGGGCCAGCCGGCGGTATCAATAATGTGTGCAATTTGGAGTGGCGTCTCGGCGTACACTTGATAAATTCGCCAATACGCAATTTAGTTGCGTGTAATCAGTGCGCCTTGAGCGACGAGGCGCTTTGAAACCCTTGCCCCCACGACTCTTTGATTGTCGAGGTAGGTGTAGGTACATATAGGTACACGTACATTCAGGGCGCGATAAAACAATTAACCCTCGATTTGTGCGTGTAACGAAATCAATTTGTGCGGGGCGAAGTTTGGGATATTTCGGTGAAGGTTGCTCGACGGGATTATACACGCTGTAATGCCCTGCTGAGCTTCGAAGGGACTTGCCTTGTTCGTTGATGGATGAACAATAATTGGTCGTTGTTGGGTTTATCGATACATTTTACTCTATACCGTGATCGAGTGTTTGATTGACAACAGCATTTTTTTCACTCATTCGTCATTGAGCGACGAAGAATTTTTTTTTTTTTTTTTTTTTTTTTTTTTTTTTTTTTTTTT